ATTTTAAACAACATTTTCAATTATTATTTTGTCAAAGTTTCCAAATTCTTTATCAAACATCAATTTCCTAAACACATACAAAATCCGGTAACTTTGCTATAAATAATATGGTTTATAAGGTATTATGTGTTGTGTATTGCAATACCTCTCAAAAGTAATGCATTAATTGATTGCTTAAGGTTTTTAGGTCTAAATATTTGTCTGAAATAAAATACTATTTAGTTTTCAATTAGGTTTTAGTTTCAAAGTTTGTGCCATAAGTCATAGATAAGAGAAATTCCGAACAAAAAATAGAGCGGATATTCTCAATACAATTAAGCTATAAAACGAGCTTAAAATATAAACTAAAACTTTTGAGACTTTATTACTCTCATAATTGAATTGTTATTTAAGACATTAGAAAATGGGATTAACTCTGCAATTGAGAGTAAAATATCACATCAGAAGACGTCTATTAAAGTGATCTCTACTGTCGTGACGTCTAATGATTTACGAGTGCTTTAAATACTACTAAATATAAGTCTTTTATTGCTTAACATTACATACGATTCGTTGAAGGAAAAGGATCGGCAATAAATTGGCTGATCATTGAGTGTATTAATAGTAATTTACACCATAATTATAATGATAGCTCAACGCATAAATTCCTTATACGTGAGTAAATAAGTAATATTACAAAAAACAGACATGTTTTACAAAATATAATATGTTAATACAAATTCCTATTATTTTAACGTATACTCCAAGAATTTTCTAAAGTGACATTCAATGCCATTGTATTTACTAAAGTGTCACTTACATCACACAAACTCCTATTGTCTATAAATTAAGTTTTTATTTATTAATCTTAACATTTAATTTGCTAGACTTTAAAAGTATTAAGTGTTTTAGTGTTTTACTACTTTATAACCATTAGATCATATCCTACGCCCCTTTGTTTTGATGAATTAGCTATTAATATAATGTTAGCGCAAAACACTTAACTCTTTATTCATTGAACAATAGGCAATGGGGTCCGCATAGGGAATGGTAGCTCATTTCCCATCGTATTTATGGAAAACTAGTTTCTACCAAAAAAAATAGTTTTTTATTTATTTTAGTACTTTTTATTTGTATTTGTTGATGTAACGCGAAAAACTAATTATGAAGTATTGGTGAAAAAATATCTGGGTCTTATGTAGTCATTTGGTTAGTCAAATAACTACCAGTGATGCCAAACAGACAAACCCCTAAACCATTAATACTTTGTTTCAATGCTATTGTGATGGACCGCATACTATGTGTAAACAATAGTTACGAATAACTTTTAATATTGTTTTTTAAATTACATTCACAATAAATATCCAGAAATACAAACCACACATAAAAAGCATTTCAAGAAACATCAAAATTATTGATATTTATTTGATTGTAATTTAGTACAGGATTTGAATCTTTGTTCTTTTTATTGTTTTTCAATTCAATGGACTATTTAATAAATGTATTGAATTTCAAGTTCAAGTCCTAAATATAAGCCGATTTTACCTTTAATTGCATTTTTTATGTCAGAAAAAATCAATTTTCTATCAGATTTTGTGCAAAATTTGGTCTCATTTTTCATATGAATTATTATTATTATATTTTTCGCATCAATTTCTTATTATTCATTGCATTACATAAGTAATCGATTCTTTGGTTATGTGATGATTATGACTACAAACACAAGCATCTCATGAATCGGTTAGTCATTGATTAGGACGAGAGTAGTGCCAAAAATCCGGTTTTTGAAGGTTTTGTCTTTGCATTCAGTTTTTTGGTGTTGTTTTCGGTTATCGATATATCTGTTGAAGAGATCATTATTAATGTAATTAACAGTTGGAGTCTCTCAACCCTCTCAATACCCTCCCATACAAACACACACTCGTTATGTCAGTCGAGTTTCAGTTGTGTTTTAAGCTAGAAGTCACTCAAAATACCGGTATCTCTAATCATATGATGATTATTATGAACGGGTATTGTCTGAGCTATTAATGGTTATGTGAATTGAAATGTGAAACGTCGGCTACAATTGAATAACTGGGTATTGGATGTCATACACCATACCATTACACCGTTTCTTAATGTCTTGAGACAAACGTATTATTAACAGTATTGAATGACAACTGTATTTAAGTATATGCCTAATAATAGTGTTTAATAAGAAATTGATACATATTTTGTTAAATCAAATCACAAATTATGAAATAAGTGGTGCATTATATTTCCTGTATTTTCTCGTAGAAAAATCTTATTTCGTTTCGTTATCATTGACTTCAAAGTATTGAATTACTTATTCCTAAAAACTTATCATTTATAAGTTATCACTGATTTTAATTGTCAACTCTTTTGATAAATAATGTCATAAATATTGACATTAGTTTACTCGTGAGAGGGAGAGTTGGTGTTTGTTATGTTTGTGTATATTCTGAACCAAATTCATAAAACAGTTATCAAACAAATTCTGTACATAAAGATTAATATGATATTTATTTAGTGTGTATTTTGTGTGACATTAATTTATTGCTATTTATTTGTGTGTAAAACTCATTTTTGTGGAAAAAGAGGTTTCGTAATCACTATATAAATGGTAAGCAGTCGATGGAAATCATATATTTATGGTATAACTCATTGAATGAATGGAAAAATGTATTCACGAATGTGTTTGAGTACGGAATCGGTTTATTAACCTCAGAGACAATGCACTATATCTTCAAAAAAAATATCAAATATGTTTAGTTTAGTTACGCTTTTCATGTATTCATATGCACTACGATTACAATCACTTTTTTCTATACAAATCACTGTTTATTTTCAATTTTTTCTGATCTACCATTCATTTACACACTGTGTCTATCGTTTACTTTTGAAAATTCTTCATCAGTTAATGACTTGCCTTATGATTATGTCTACAGTCACTGACCACTGAATGAATGCCATAATTAATTGAATTAATTTGTATTTCACTATAAAACAGTTTTCAATGTAGTCTATTTGAAAACATAATTAAATTAGAATTAATTGAAATATTTTATTTAATACAGTATTTGTTTTCCTATTTCACCGCAAAATAAGTGTTTTTAATAGAAAGATTAGAAAATAATTAATTAAATGAAGTCTATTTGAAAACATAATTAAATTAGAATTAATTGAAATATTTTATTTAATACAGTATTTGTTTTCCTATTTCACCGCAAAATAAGTGTTTAATAGAAAGATTAGAAAATAATTAATTGGTTTATAAATAGGAAAATAATTGAAAAATGGATTCGTTAGCGGATTCTCTCAAAACAATTTTGTTTCTTATGACCAGAAAATTCATTTTCTATGCTTTTGTTCTCATATTATATAAAAATAGCGTAAATATAATTAAAGTAATCATTAAAACAGGGCTGGAGTTGCCGTCATATCTAACATCGGACTTAATTTAATCACAAAAAACATGTTCTTTATCTCCAAATGTTGTGAAAGAATGAGATTTTTATGTGAAATAAGAGTTTATTTTAAGACTAGAGAAGAAATTGAAAATAATTGTATTTATTTCGTTAAAATTAGAAATCTTTTGCTGATTAGTGTGAATGTTATAACACTTTCACACTTTTTACAGCCAAACCCTACACTCGATGTCTCCAAAACTCATATTTTAAATGTTGACCCATTTGTGCAAATAATTTGTTTGAAAGGGTATTCATAGATTTGGTTTATAAATAATTTATTAATTCAGTGAACAAAGAATTTTCGTATACTTATTGAGAAATCTTGTAAATATTTATTGTTTCATAAAAGTATGCTTCAGTACTAAATTAGCTCGTCAACTTTATTATAGAAACACTTATCCACTGAATTATTTTGGGTTTTAATTTATTATGTTTTCAAAGAATCCTTTTATGAAATTCTCCGAAAATATTCAATATGTTTTTTGTTTGCAAATTCATTAATAATTTTTAAGTATAATATCGCATTTCACACACATGTTGCCATATTTGTCGCAATCGTTTATCAATTAATTTATTACTCATTGATAAAGAATTTGATTTATTAAATTATTATCATTTTGATTTGTGTTTTAAATCAAATGATAAATAAGAATTACAATAAATTTTTCAGTATAATAAACTGTAAAATTTACAAATTTAAGTTTTAATAAAAATAATCTTATATTTATAAATGTCAAAAACACTATATTTTGTTGACACTAAAGAATGTCTATTAAAGCATATTATAATTAATTTGTCGGCCTTTCTATATAAGAGTGGGAATATATATAATCTTCAAAATAACTTGTGATAAATCAGTGAATATTTTCTCTTAATGTCTGACTATGTCTTACAGTTAATCGCAATTCAAGTGAGAGTTAAACATAAAAGAAAAATACAATAATTATAACGTTTAGCGAAATAATCTAAGACTAAAAAGTCATGCTTTAGATGATTATGATTATGAAAGAAGTTTATAATAATTACAGACTTCAGGGGAATAGTCGTCGGATAGAAGTTCATTAACTAAAGGGTTCGTTGTCTTAGGAAATGAGAGGGAAATATAAAACCAAAACCTCAGACCTTATGTAGCGATCATTAGTGCAACAATTTTCTTATACATGCATTCATTTCATAATAATAACCAAAAGACATGTTTTTGCTTTTTATGTATAGAGAAGACCCAAATTATATGGAAAATTGAAATTTGATACAAATATTCAAATGAGTAACTGAAAGGGAAAGAGAGCACTAATTCATTATTTATAACGTTATATGAAAACAGTTTATTTAAAATTTAAATATCAAAACAAAAGAAGCAAATTATTTCGCTTATCATTAAGATTTGCAGTGCTTTTCATTCCTAAATCAAATCAAAACACATCTCAAAAACTTTGTTGTTTCGAGTGCTCTGCCTATCATTCAAATGCATATCACATATAATTTGCTTACAAATTATTCCTTCAAAACAAAATATGTCTAACATTTGATTTACTTATCGTTGAATAGGAGTACGATTTGGAGCAGAAGATAGACCTGGAGATCAAGATGAGAGAGGGGACGACCAAACTGTTGGCCGCCTGTAAGCACTCCAATCAGACCCTCGAAGCGGCCAAATCTCTGCTCACATCCAACGAACGGATGATCGCATACATGAGTGAATTGCAGAGACGGAGGGCCACCGAAAGGCACCAAAATAAGGAGGACCTCAAGATGTATGCCCACATTTGCCTAACCATTTGCTTAGATTATCATAGTTTGCTAAGCTTGTTAATTTATGGCTCACTTTTTTTTAAAAATCTTTATCTGAAATTTATTCGCAATTTAAATCCATTTAATAACTTTTGATTCTTGTGGCTATAAATCAGTGTTTCTTATAACACATTGTAATTGCATTTAGGAGTTAATACATAATTTTGATGCATTTTTCTGAAATGTTTAGCCATTTTTTCATGAGAGGCTGTGCTCTTTAATTAAAACGATATACTCATCGCTCGTACATTAAATTCAATCTAAATCTCTATCAACAAAATAAATCATAATTGGAGTCAAAATCTTTAAAAATTATAGCCAGTGTAACAATGAATACATGATTAAATGCATTGAGATTTATTTTATGCAATTATATAGTGATTAAGATTTAGAGATAGACTATTTTCCGATAATTTCCCCTTATTTTCAAACTTTTTTAAACGCTAATTATTGAAGCCTTATTATTTGAAATGTAGTCAAATCTAAGCATTAATTTTAGATCAGTTATCGGAAGTTTTATATTTAAGCTATCAATTAATTAGTTTAAACCAAATTTGGTAAACTTATCCAAAAATCAACTAATAATCGAAAGAATAAATGATATGAAATCATGAAATAAGAGAAATTGAGAACAAAATTGCCCACAAATTACTCCAAAAATAATAATTTACTGAAAAATGTTTGATTTTTTTCACAAAATAGGAAATATTTGAACCCTAAAGGCGACGGCGGAAAAGCAAAAGTTTCAGTCTCTGGTGAGTTGTTGTTATTTTCTGTATATTATTATTGTTTATGAATTAAATTAATCCAAATTCTTACGAGAATGTCATTTTAAAATGTTGTTTTTATTTATGCAATCATATGTTTTCTGTACGCCTATTAATGCAAA